GGATATAGCGTAGTTGGTAGAGTGCTCACCTAGAATGCCCAAAGCCCCGGGTTTGACACCCAGCGCTATATAAACCAGGAGTGATGGCTTAATCCTAGGTTTAATACCTAGCACGGTATAAAACAGTCATGGTGGTATACAGCTTTAATTTCAGAACTGGGAAGGCAGAGGCGGGAGGAACTGCCAAGCCCCAAATAACGACACGGAGACTTATTAATTATGAAAGTTTCATCTTTCACTTCGACTTGTTGCCAACTAGCTCTTATAACTTAAATTAACCTGTTTCTATTAATATACATTCTGCTACCTCTCCTTGGTTGGCTTGGTTACCTCTCCTCTGTACTGTATATCCAACTTCTTCAGTGTCTCGAGGGCATCTCCCTCGGGCGCCTAGATTCATCTCGAGTTCCTCTCTTTTCCTAGAAGTCCTGCCTTATCTCTCCTGCTTAGCTATTGACCATTCAGCTCTTTATTAAACCAACCACAGTGACACATCTACACACAGTGTAAACAAATATTCTACAACAAGAAGGATCAGAAATTCAAGGCCAGTTTTGGCTAAATGGTAAATTAGAGTTCAGCCTGGATTATATGAGATCCTGTCTTCAAAACAAAACAAAGCAAAACAAAACCCACAAAATGTCAATAAAGTAAAATAAATTTAAGGAATTAAGAACTGTTAGGTCTGAGATGAGAACACACAGCATAGGGTGGAGAAAATGGTTGTTCATTCAACAGCCAGGGGTAAGAGAGATCTCGAAGAACAAAGATGCCCTGCCTCTGGACTTCACTATGTTCTTGATCTATCTACTGGCATTAATCTGTCACTGGGTCCTCCCACATTTGAGGGCTGCTTATTTCTTTTGACTTGATTGTACCCAGCCGTCCTAAACATCAAGTAAAAGAGAGCCACTATGAATTTGGCTTTCATGTAGAAATTTATTCTGTCATAGTCCAAGTAAGAAAGTTACAGACCCCAATTGTTATCTTAGAAGCATCATCCAGCAACCGATGGGAGCAGATGCAGAGACCCACAGCCAAACACTAGGTAAAGCCAGGGGAACCCCACTGAAGAGGGGGAGGAAGGATTCTAGGAATCAGAGGGGTCAAGGGCACCATGAGAACATAGCCCACAGATTCAACTAAGCAGGGCTCATAGGGGCTCACAGAGACAGAAGCGACAATCACAGACTATATGGGTCTGAGCTAGGTCATCTGCATGCATGTTATGGTTGTATAGCTTGGTGTTCTTGTGGGACTCCTAAGAGTGGGAATAAGGGGTATCTCTGATGCTTGTGCCTGTGCTTGGGATCCTTTTCTTCCTACTGGGTCGCCTCATCAGTCTAGCCTTATTATAATTTGTTATGTCATATTCTGTTGATATCCCCTGGGAGGCTTTTATTTTTTCATGACAGAGTTTCCCTGTGCAGCCCTGGCTGTTCTGGAACTCACTCTGTAGACCAGGCTGGCCTCGAATTCAGAGATTCACCTGCCTCTGCCTCCTCTGGAGTGCTAGAATTAAAGGCGTGTGCTGCCACCGCCACCACCAACACCTGGCTTTTTTTTTTTTTTTTTTTTTTTGGAAACAGAGGAGGAGTGGATCTGTGGGAGAGTGGAGGTGGGGAGATACTGGGAGGAATGGAGATAGGGGAAACTGTGGTCAGGATGTAACGTATGTAAAGAATAAAAATTAAATATATATAAAAAGAGAGTTACAGTCTGCCACATAGGTAGGGTCAAATAAGAGTCTTTGATTTGAGCAGGTGACCAAGAGCAGGCTCTTGCCACAAAGAACTCTGGTCCAGAAGCTTAGGGATACAGCGTTTATAAGGGAAAATACTACACAGCCCACAATGACATAAAGGTATAGGTCAGAGGAACCTGGTAACATTTGTTTTGGTTATACATTCAGCAGATATTTTGGTTATACATCTGGTCCACGGTTAGGGTCATGGAAAGTCCCAAATGTGTTGCCAAGGTGGACAAGACTATCCAGGGGGTCAGGGGCTGAAAAGCACCTGAGCAGATTACAAAATGTTGTTAGGGCAAGAGCAGGACAAGGTGGTGTTGTCTTGGTCATTTCAACTCAAAAGTTGATATGGAAATTTAACAGGATCAAGATTTTAATTTTGATGGCAATGGCTCCAGGGGTAAAAGTGCTTGCCAGGCAAGCCTGATGACCTGAGTTTGATCCCTGGAATCCAATGGAAGGGGAGAACCAACTCTCAAAAGTTGCCCTCCACATGGGCACCATGGCACACATGTGCCCCACCTTATAATATCAAACAAATAAATAAAAATAGTATGGACTGGTAAAGTATGGCGGCTAATGTCTGTAATCCTAGCATTCGGGAAAAGGAGACAGGAGGATAAGTTAAGGCCAACCTGGGCTATCTAGTGATTTACAGACCAGTTTGGGCTATTGTATAGAATTTTTTCTTCTGAAAAAAAAAAAATCCCCCAAACAGAGGTTGTAGATAGAGTTCAGTTGGCAGAAAGCCTGTCCGCATGCTGGGGTCAGTCCTAGCACTGCATTAACTTGGGGTGGCTGTACATGCTTACAGTTTCTTCTTGGAAGACGGAGGCAGGAGAATCAGAAGTCCAAGGCCATCCTCAGCTATATTGTGAATCTGCAGAAAGCCTGGGCTCCACGAAACCCTGTCTCAAAAAAAAAAAAGAAAAAACAAAAAAAAAAATGGGCAAAAAAAAAAACCCACAAAGACACAAAAACCCCCACAAGAAACCCCAGCAAAACAAACCAACCAACCCGAAGTATGACAAAAATACAAAAACAAAATAATTAAAGAAAAAAAAAAACAGCAATAAAAACAATCCGGCCTGGCTGTGTGTCTTGGTGGTGCTCCTGATGCAGCTGTGTTGGTGACAATGTAGTAATTAGTCACCTCAGCTGTTTACTGAGTGCTTGTTTTCATTGTTCCCTGTGCTCAGTGCCAGCTTTGGAAGCCTCTACCCGACAAGTGCGTCATTGATTTCCAAAGCCTGCTTGTAATCATTTCTCCACTTAACCTCATGACCTCCAAGATACATTGATGGCAAAGGTACTGTTCCCTCTTTCTGGCATGTGATGAGGGGGCAATCAGGACGAAAGGCCTTGGCTAATGCCCTTTTTCCAGTTAATAACCGAGCTATGCCGAGATGCAATCATTTCTGTCATCTTACACACACTGCCCAGGAAGGCTTTGTTATTGTTAGTTATAGAATCTTTGTATTGAGTACTGGGCCCCAAGAGTGTCAGGACTGGGGACATAGCTCAGTTGGCAGAGTGCTTACCTAGGGTGCATGAAGCTCTAAGATCAGTCACCAGCCACTGCGTACACTGGGTATGGTGGCACATGCCTGGGAGCCTGGTACTCAGAGGTGGAGGCAGGAGGATAATCCTTGGCTTCATAGAGAGTTAGAGGCCAACCTGGGATACATGAGACAGAGGGAGAGACAGAGAGAGAGAGAGAGAGAGAGAGAGAGAGAGAGAGAGAGAGAGAGAAAGTCTGAAAGGTAGTTTAAAAGTTTTGGTTAGGAGCTGGCAAGGTGACCCAGCGGGTTACGCCACCTGCTGCCAAGCCTGATGATCTGAATTTGATTCTAGGGACACCATCAAAGGAGAGAAGCAGCTTCTGAAAAGCTGACCTCCTCTGTGTGCCTCACTTTTTTTTTTTTTTTTAAAGACAGGCTCTCATGTGTCCCAGGCTGGCCTATATAGCTCCCTATGTGGCTGAGGCTGAGTTTGAACTCTTGATCCTCCTGTCGCCACTTCTCAAGCGCTGGCTCATGAAACCATGCCCAGCATGAGGCATTATAATGAATTGTTATTAAAATTGTATCCTATTTATGTGTATGTGTGTGTTAGCATGGATGGGGAGGTCAGGTGACACTTGGTGGGAGTCAGTTCTTGCCTTCCTCTATGAGGGTTCCGGGGATGGAACTCAGACTTTCAGGCTGGATGGTAAGTGCTCTACTAAAATCAGCATTCTTCTGCAAACACTCTTGGGGATGGATGGTGCGGCTTCCAGGAGGAAGTAACGCAAGATTAGTTGAATGTTATTTCTCTCCTGAAAGAGTTTCATTAATTAATCAAATCTTTGAGTTTTCCATTCGTCCACCTAAGACTCTGACTAATCCCACTTTAGCACAACGATTGACAGCTGTCAATCAAGCATCTGTCAGCACAGCTGTGAGGACAATGCTGTGAGTGGCTATTTTTAGCTTTTTTTTCCCAGTGGACTGACTGGATTGCTAGAGAGGGTAAAGGAAAAAGACATGTAATATTTTGATCTTAGTTGAGTATTTAAATTTCATATTTTGAATTTCACAAATGTTGTAGGAATTTAGCAGGGTATCTGGGGTTCATTAGAATGAACAGCTGTTTTCTAGAAGTGCTCTGACCTTGAAGAATCTTTGTGGAAAGCAGTGACTGTTTTCTGTGATCTGTAGAATTGTTTTACTGAAGGGGCATTGCAGCCATCCCAGGACACTGGTCACAAGATGCCTCAGGCACACCTGAGTCTCTTGCATTATTGTGTATTACAAAGCATACATACATAATAAAGGACTAGAGTCATGGAAGCAGGTGATGGTCTTCTTTAGTAAGACATGTAAATTAGATTAGGGACCTT